GTGTGTGTGTGTGTGTGTGTGTGTGTGTGTGTGTGTGTGTGTAGAGATATGTGCGTGTGTGAGAGCAGGTGCCTGTACAGTCCAGAAGAGGGCATCAGATTCCCTGGAGCTAGAGTTACAGGAGGTGAGCCTCTCAGAATACGTGCTGGGAACCAAACTCAGGTCCTCTGGAAGATCAGTAAATGCTTTAAACCTCTGAGACATCTCTCCAACCCAGTTCTAAATGTTTTGCAAAACATCTAAAGCTTTATTTTGTAAAGAAACCTTATTTTCCCTCAATTGTCTTGCTATCAGATTTTTTTGTGCATGGGCATAGTTTATGGAAAGTAGAGAAGCACAATATTTAGTGCTGCGGTAAGGACTGCCTGTGACTGCCCTGCCCTGGGGGTTTATCTTATCCTGGAGCACATAGGCACTTGAGCAATAGACACATTTCAGAAGCCCATTCTGGAAAACTCAGCTCAAGCAGGGAGAGGGAACAGGAAGATGGCCAAAGCAAATATCAGGGACTTTGGTATGACACTATGAATACAAGAACACATGTGAGAACTCAACTACATACCAAACATCAATGACTAGACACTAAATGGATCAAGAAAGGAGCATCATTCTGAGCCAGTTCAAGCCCAGGGCCAGTTAGAGGTCAGCTTCTTCCCTCCTCTGACTAATTTACTGTAGACCAATTCCAGTCAAAACTACCATGAGACTAGATCTTCCTCCAGGTAGGATGGAAGGGAAGGGTTCCTTTCTCAGGTCATCTGACCCAACATCCAGATTTCCTCATATTGATGGTGCTCATGTTTTACCCTCAAATAATAGTTCCCTGTGCTGCACACATTGATCGGCATCCTGTAAAAAAATATATCCCAGGTACATACACAGTGGTTCCATAGCATCTAACCTTAAGGTTCCCTAAGTAAATAAATAATAAAGACCACCAAGTAGCCATTGAAGAAACTGAATTTTGGTCTACCCAACTTTTCTCAAATGTCTTGGAAGTGTTTTCCTCAGTTCCTTATATCTTGTGAAGCTGTTTTGAAGCTTTCTGAGACAAATCTTAGGCCTGGATTCTACGCAGAGTGGTTCATAGCCTCTGGGTGAACTGTTACCCCTACCATCACCAACTCATGGGTGTTCTGTGCCTTCTCGCCTCACTGCCTGGCCAGGTCCTGTTACCAACCTGCACCTCACTGCTTTCTCTGGCTGAGACTCTCCTGGCCACCTGGTATGAACACTTGCAGAATATTTGCAACTTGAATGGCTTTTTACATATCCTACCCACTTTTACTTTCATCTACTCTGTTCTGTCCCCATCTCAAACACTCAACATCCCCAGGCCTGAATCCTGAACACACGTTATTACTAACCTGGAAAGGAAAGGAACAGTCATTGGTTTTTGTTTTAACATCACAGTGGCACTTTTTATTCTCTGTAGCTAGACCTGAGTGTGACACACACTAGATGTGTGTAAGTAGACTTTTGTACCAAGTAGAATTTGATTTTCTGTGGGGCTTAGTCCCTTCTTGAACCTTAGTTCGCCACATAAAAAGAATGACAACACTTATGGCGGGGGGAGACTTACAGAATAAAATGAGATAATTATAACTTTAAACGGTGTGTGTACAGGACTGAAAACCAGGTAGCTCTCTCTTACGTCCTTTTATTTAGAAACCCATATTTTGTCATTTTAATGCCTACAGAACTGAACTGTTTTGTTAATGTGTTCTTCTACGTAATAATAGTTGATAATCAGTGGTAAAAGTTTTAAACATTTTCCACAACTCAATAAAGCTACATTTACTTTTAAATTTGAATAAACTACAGCTATGCTTATTCATCCTGCCTTGATATTGGTTCCTCTTACATAGTCACAGACTGCCAGGGTTACTTTTGTGATAGCTACGATTTTAAAAGCAATTGCATGTACAATGCTGATAGTAATGTATATTCCATAAATTAATACTCATTGTGTGTTCCTTGGTGGATACGGCTAAAAAGGAATTCAGCCCTTTAGCTGTGTATTTTTCCGTTTTAGGGTCCAGGGAGATCTTAAGCCTGAAAGAGTGAGTCCTGGAAATGAAAGCACAATGTGGTCCTCCCTGCCCCCACCCTTAGCTATTATCTAAGCAGGCGAGGCACATGTTCGTCCTCTCATAAATCAAGCCCTCCAGCTCTTTAATCTCTGTTCTCTGTCATTCTCTGAATTCCTTCCAACATGTAAGTAAAGGCCTGCACCCCCCCAAGACCCAACCAACAAGTTGTCATTTCAAGCCCCAAAGTGACCTGTGAGATTTATGTGCTTCTCTGTTGAATTACCCCCGTGTGGTTGACCTAGATCAATGGATTGTTCCTACCACCTCTGGAAATATCATGAGGCTAGGGTTTGTCCACATTCATTTTCTTCATAGCTCCTTAGATTATAAAGAATTGTCTTCTTCCAGCTATTCCTGTTCCCAGAAAAATATCTAACATCAATTTGTTGAAATCCATGAGACACTGTAAGAGAAAGCAGTTTGTCAACTATTCAAGAGTATATAAAATAAAGTTGCAGGACTCACATTATTACTAGTTGCTCTTTGTCCATAAGAAAAATAGTAATAGGTTTTGAAAACTCTCTCCTCCAAGTAGTAGTCTGTTTACTAAATAGCTTTTCATTGTCTTGATATGAGAAATTGTTTTCATGTTTGTACTTCTTTCCCAAAGCTAATGTTGGTTTCTTCAACAAAACGCTAATGTTTTAAACATTCCTGATGTTAACTGTGTCAAACTGAGTCATTTTTAAAATCCTCATGTACCTGTATTGTTCAAAATGTTGCTATTGTGGTCTCAGTTCCATATGATATCTTGTAGGAGTTTCTTTGAAATTAATTTACTTAGGTACATGAGTCAAATGTGCAAGAATGAAATCAGGCATGCCACACACCTTTAATCCCAGCACTCAGGAGGCAGTAGCAAGTGGATCTCTGTGAGTTCAAGGCCAGCCTGGTCTACATAGTGAGTTTCAGGCCAGCTGGGGCTACAGGGAGACCCTGTCTCAAAAAGACCAAAAAAGAAAAAAAAAAAAAAAGGAAAAAGAAAAAAGAAAAGCAACTGCCCAAATCAAACAGCAAAGGAATGTATTGACACAGTTCTCTGGAGGTGGGACCTAGGCATTGGTAATTTGGAAGCTTTCAGTATGATTCTCAAAGTGAATTGCAAAAGTTGGTTTTTAGGCAGTGCAACAATGGCTAAGCTGTTAAATTCTAAACTGCCATATATATATATTGAACTTTTTATTGAACTTTTGTAATTTCATACAGCAGTTCTTAATCAAATTTAGATCCCCTCCCCCAGCCATGCCTCCCCCATCCCCCCACTGGACCTCATGTGTTCCACCATACATACATGCACATTTCTATTCATTCAGGCTTTTGTACCCAGATGTCCTTCAGTGTAAATTCATACACTGGAGTCTAGTCAGCCTATCTAGAGATCATATGTAAGGCATGGTGTCCCTCACCCAGCAGCAATCAATCTCCAGTAGTTCTCAGTCTAGTGTGATACAGAGTGCAATACACACAGAAGACCACAACTGGCCAAGTTTTAAAGATAAGAGACTGCAGAGTGTAGGACAGGACTCCTATATGGAACCTCATCCACCCATGGCTCAGGGACCATTGCAGAAGAGGGGATGGAAAGATTGTAAGAGCCAGGGCTGATTCAGGAACACAGGGAAACAGGCTTTCAGGCCACTGGAAGCCTACACATATGAACTTGTGGCAATGGTGGTATCAACCACAGGACTCATGCCAACTCAATTAAACAAGGGCCCAAAGGGGAGGGGAACTGCTTTCTTTTTGTCAAACATCCACACTCTGCCCTGAAGACAGAAATAAGGTTATTGTGCACAGCACATCATTCAAAAGCTGGGTGTGGTGGCGTGCACACATTTAAGTCCTAGCACTCAGGGAGTGTACCCAGGAGGCAGAGACAGGAGGATCCCTGTGACTTCCAGGACAGCTGGGGCTACAGGGAGACCCTGTCTCAAAAAGACCAAAAAATATAAATAAATAAATAAATAAATAAATAAATAAATAAATAAATAAATAAATAAAAATACATCATTTAAGAAAAGAATGTAAATGAGATTCCCTTACCTTCTCTCTAAAATCCAGTGTGACGGAACAGCTTTATCTTTTCACTCCTGCCTATTCAGTGCCCTGAAATGGTCAAACTCCTTTCAACTAGCCCAACTCCTGTGAAAGTGAAGTGGCATAAAATCAGATGCCTTGGAAAAGGCATCATGGTCTGCATTTACAGTATATTTGTATTCTTTCAAAATTGTTAGCATTCCTACAGAACTGTGAAGTGTTAATGACCTTTTTGTTTGTTTTGTTTTCTCTTTTCCTTCCAGGGAAATGATATTGACCCCGAAGCTGTTAAAGGTGAAGTGTTAACAGTTGGAAATAAGAGCTGTGAGAATATACACTCCCATTCTGAAGCTGTTTTATGTACGGTCCCCAGTGACCTGCTGAAATTGAACAGCGAGCTAAATATAGAGGTGGGATCCCTGCATGCCTCTCATGATGTAAATAAGGATGCCAGTATAATTATGTCACTCGCAGGCTTAAAATAAATCATTAAAGCTCATTTGTATGTTGGCTGTGGCTCATCAGCTCAGCCTCAATGCCTAGTTGTGATTTGAGAAATAGGTTTTTTTTTTTTTAAACCACACTGTGTCTTTCACTAGGGTTAGAAGAGTAAGTTTCAAAAATCTTTTTTTCCCATACTGCTCCATCATGCCACATTTAAAAAAATATTTTATTTATTATTTTTATTTCATTTGTATGCATGTATTGCCTGTGTGTAGGTAAGTGCACCCGTGTCATGCAATGCCTGCAGAGGACAGAAGAGGCCATCGGATCCTCTGGAACTGGAGTTAACGGACAGTTGTTAGCTGCCATGTGGGTGCTGGGATTCGAACCTGGGTCTTCTGCAAGAACAACCAGTGTTCTTAACAGCTGAACCATCTCTCCAGCCCCAAATCATGCCACATTTTACCCAAATGTGCTGTAATTCTCAGAAGAAATAAGAACACATATCAGATTGTCCCTTCCCCCACTTTTCAGAAAGTCAAGAGACAAAAATCAGTGTCCCTTACCTACTTCAGTAATCACAGATGCATGGAATCCTACAAGTGAAAGAAGACGTATCTATTGGGGAGAATAAAGTGGGGGCTCAATTGTTTTGCCATACCTTCTTTCATGTAGACAACCAAATCAGATAATCTAGAACCAGGATGATTTCTTCATTATTTTTTAATAGCTTGTTGTGATGTAGTTCATATATCATATAATCTACCACTTAAAGTAGACAATTTAATAAGTTTGATTTATTGCATTATTTCTTTACATTGTGGTGACACACACATATAGCATAAAATTTGCCTTTTTAACCATTTTAAATGTACAGTTCAGGGCTATGAATTGCATTCACAATGTGTGTAACCATAACTGCTGTATACTTAAAAAGCCTTCTCAGCACCCAAACAGAAGCTAAGCAATAGCGCCACATCCTCCTTTCCGACAGTCCCTGTAACTTCTCATCTATTTTCTTTCTCTATGACTTTGATGATCTAGATATTTCATGTAAGTGAAATCATACAATATGTGTCCTTTGGCATCTGGCTTATTTTACTTGGCAGATGTTTTAAGGTTCATTCTTTCTCAAGGCTGAGTAATATCTCATTGTGTGTGTAAAAGATATTGTGTCCCCGAGAATAAGAATAAGTGGTTTTAAAGGGCTCCTGAAGTCCTCCTAAGAAGTTAGGAAATGGAAATATACAAAAGAATTACAAAATCTGAGACCGAATCTAGAGATCAGAGTTGGAACTTCAGAATGACCATTAATCCCCCCCCCAAAAATCATAAACATTACAACTGTAAAGAGCCACAAAGATTTCTTCTATGCATATGTAAAGATATTCTGAGACCTTATTATCCTTTAATAATATGATTATTTGCCTGTTATGGAAAGTCTTTTCTGCAGTCTAACCCATTTTCCCTAATTGGGACATAACTAATTTTCACTTATTCGTATTTCTATGGTATCATTATAACAATTGATGTGTCTGTCTCACTCAATATATCTTAGTTCCTCGAGAACTATGATACTTATTTGCCTAAGTATCATAGAAGTACTTTAGGGATCAACGTTTCCTCATTATTTAAACACTGAGGCTCCAGATATTCCTTACTACTCTAAAGGCAATAATGCCACTTCTAGAATGACTACAGCCAGATGTTAATTGGGGCCCAGAGAAACTGATTCTACCTAGACAGTATATTTTGTATCTATGGTAGTCAAATTGTAACTTTTCCTTCTTGGTTGTTTCTAGTGGAAGCAAGCAGTCTCTTCAACTGTCCTTGGAAAAGTGATAGTTCAACCAGATCAGAATTTCACAGGATTGGTAATTGGTGTGGTCTCAACATCAATGATACTTTTGTTATTACTCGGGCTTTTCCTGTGGCTAAAAAAGAGAAAGCAAATTAAAGGTACTTTTTTGTTGTTGTTGTTAAGAAACTACTGTAAGAATATCATGATTACAGTTTAATGTTATCGTAGAGGCATGTGAGTTGTCCAGTAAGCATTCATAAAACCTGTGAGTTTCAGCACTGGGTCAAAGTCTACTGTATCTGTATAGCCAAGTCTAACAACCTCGTTCTCTCTCTCTCTTTCTCTCCCTTAAGATCTGGGTGATGAACGGGTCCGCTATGATGCAAGAGTACACACTCCTCATTTGGATAGGCTTGTCAGTGCCCGAAGTGTAAGTCCAACTACAGAAATGGTTTCAAATGAATCTGTAGACTACCGAGCTACTTTTCCAGAAGGTATATTTTAGTTTATTCTTCTGAGCACTATTTATACATAGACCTCTGTGGGTTGTGGCATTGTTGTTTGTTTGTTTGTTTGTTTGTTTCCCTATATTTTTGTACAAATAGAAAAGAAATGTTGACCTCTACCAAAGACATATTTAACTTGAAGAATTACCTGGCCCTTATTTTGAAAACAAACACATGTAGGTTTCATATTAGAATTTTAGTATCTACAAGCTCTCTTCTCACAAAAAAATTAATTCTGAAATCATTTGAACAAAGTAACTTATCTCAGTGCAATGCTAAGAAATAGCAATGCTCTCTTTAACAATTAAGGAAGAGTTAAGTTACAAAACATATTTTTATTTAAATATAAATTGAAAATGCTACATCTAGACATTTGAATTATACCATTAATAATCTTTTGAAGCATTCTATATGAATACAGCTTTTACCTATAACATTCCATGACTTAAATATATTTTGAGTCTTGTCCAAGAAAAACCTTCAATTATGCTATTAAACAACATCATCTGGTTTGCAAAATATCAGGCCTAATAATGGTCAGATTGGCCAGAACATTTCACATTGTTTCATTTAAAAATCTTCTGCCCAAAGCAAAAAGTACCTGTATTGTATCAGGGCCATTATCTTTAGAAGTTATAGGACATGAGTCAAGTACAAGCATTTCCCTGGTAGAATATTTACCATTGGACAAATAAAATGAATCACAGACATTGGAGGATACTGAAAAGTTAGAAGTTGCTCATCCAGGCAAGTACTTGAGCAACTAAACACTGCATTTTAAGTTTCTCGCCATTTGTTTCCTCTTACTGAGGTTTATGTTAATGCCATAAGATTGTTGTATCACCCATATGACTGCATTCACTGTTAGAAATCCAATTTTTTAACAATATGCACAAATCAAACCTAGTGCATACAGTGGCCCTCTTTTGTCCATTTTATATTCCTGTATCTCCAAGGAGCAGGGTCATGGTAGGCAGGAGGGAGAAGCTTCCTTTTTTCTTAGCTATGATGACATAGATTTGGTGACTAAGGAATGTGAAGATTAGGAAACACACTCACACACACACAATAATAATATTAAAATTTTAAAAGTGGGGGCAATGAGATGGCTCAGCAGGTAAAAGTGCTTGCCACACAAGCCTGATGTTTGATATTTGGAACCCATATAAAAGTGGAAGGAAAGAACCAACTCCACAAAATTTTCTTTTGAGATTCACATGTGTGTTGTGGCATGAATACCCACACATATCATGCACACACAAAAATAATAATAATAATAAAATATGAAAATTAGAAAAAGCTTTTTGTTGCATGTGTTTGGGGGGGCGTGCATACTGTGTGCATGTGCACAGAGGCCAGAGGTCAACACTGAATGTCTTTCTTAATCATAGTCTACCCTACTTTCTGAGATAGGGCTTCTAACTAAATCTGTCAGCTAGGCTGACTGGCAAATGAACCGAGGATCTATCCCTCCCCACCCCCAGGGCTGGGGTTACACACACACACACTAACTACATCAAGTGGCTTTTATGTGGGTTCTGGGGATCTGAACTCGGGTCCTCATTCTTTCACTGTAAGCATTTTAATGACTGAACCAACATCCCAGCCCAGGAAAGGTTTTTTTAAAAGCAATTACTTGTGAATCCCAGTAATCTCAAGCTGCAAATATTAAATATAAATATGAAATGCTAATTAAATCTAAATTTTATTTATTCATTAAAAATCCTATTTTTATTTTATGGGTATGAGTGTTTTGCCTGCATGTATGTGTTTTGATTCTTATGACCTATAAGGAACCACCAATACTTTCTTGAGAAAAGCTTTTTTTGAGATTTACTGTTCCGGCTAAGGATGTATTACTTTGGTTAAGCAAAGTAAATTTTGTGAACATTTACTTTAAAATTGTCAAGGTATCTTCAACTTTCTTCTTTAAGTTCTTAGTTTCTTATTTATTTACAAACAATATTATCTGTTGGTAGCAATGAGGGTGCTTCATCTAGACCTCCCCTCATGTTTCATATACATTTCAAAACCCTGCCAGTCAGTGCTATGATTCTGGTGCCCATCCTTGAACTCTGTGGTGGATTCCTGTGGGAGGGGCAAAGGAGCTGGTGGCTTCTTTGCCTCATTTGGGATTAAGAAACACTGTTGGGGGGCTAGAGAGATATCTCAGCAGTTAAAAAGTACTGGCTGTTCTTGCAGAGGACCTGGGTTCGAATCCCAGCACCCACATGGTAGCTAACAACAATCTATAACTCCAATTCCAGGGGATCTTGTACCTTCTGACCTCTGTGGGCACTTCACAACACGAGTGCGCTTACACATATGCAGACAATACACTCCTACACATAAAATAACAATAACTAAAATATTTAAAAAAGAAAAAAAGAAATACTGTTGGGGGCTAGAGAGATGGCTCATCAGTTAGGACCACGGACTGCTCTTGCAGAAGACATGGGTTCAGTTCCCAGCACCCATATAAGAGCTCACAACTGTCCCTAAATCCAGTGCCAGGAACTCTGAGGCCCTCTTCTGGCCCTCATGGGCACGCATATGATGCATTTATATACATGTAAGCAAAACATTCACACACATAAGATAAATTTCAAAAGCTTTTTAAACCAATACTCTTAATGCCACAACCCTTTACCTTGACATGGGAGGAAAAAAACAACTCCTTGCAAAAAGAACTTTCCATGTAGCTCTTTTTTTTTTTTTTTTTTTTTTTGGTCTTTTTTGAGACAGGGTCTCCCTGTAGCCCCCCAGCTGGCCTGGAACTCGCTCTGCCTCTCAAGTGCTAGAATTAAAGGCATATGCCACCACACCCGGCTGCTTGAAGTTCTTAATAGAGCTTTGGTTGTAAAGAGGGGCTTACATGGAACACTGACTCTTATCCAATGGCTTCAAATGAACAGTGGGAGTGCACACTAGTCCAGGCCCATTCCGCCAGCTCTGAACAGCCTTAACACTCTGTCTGCTGCTACTACCGCAAAGTGGTACATATTACCACTAATATGTAAGGCTTAGCATCATATAGTTCTAACAATATATAATTATATGTACAGGTGGAGCATCCCTGACTCTAAATTTTGAAATCCAAAACCTAAAATTAAAATCTGTTACTGTGTGTGTGTGTGTGTGTGTGTGTGTGTGTGTGTGTGTGTTTAGCAGGCACATGAGTGTGTGGGTGCACACCATGTGCCTGCATTTGGAGGCCTAAGCAAGATGTCAGGTGTCTTCCTCTATCACTCTCTGCCTTATTACCTTAAGAGAGGGCCTGTCAATGAACCTGAAATTCAGCTTTTTGCTAGGGCTGCTGGCCAGGGAGCACTTGGGATCCATATGTCTCCATCCCCCAAAGCTTTTTAAGTTTATGTAGGTACTAGATATTCAAACTCAGGTCCTCATGTTTGCAAAGCAAGTACTCTTACCCACTGAGCAATATCCCCAACCTCTCAAATTTATGGAACCTTTAAGTATCAAATTTAAAAGTTTTGTCTTTTCAATTTCAAGTTTCAGATTATCTTATCAGGGATGCTCCAGCAGTTAAGTCCATGCCAGTATTCCAAAATCTGAACCATTTCTTGTTCCAACAATTTTTCTAAGAGGAGATACTACTCAACTTGTATGTGATTGTATATATTCCACTTGTCCAGGAATTCACACGTTTTTCATAATACTAATTAGGTCCATTAATGAACAGTCATTTCAAAAGGCATCTTTTATTTTCTTACATTTGAACTGGATTTTTATAGGACTAGACAACTGCTTAACTACTGTTCCTGCTTCCAATTCTTTTTCTTTTTTAAAATATAATATTTGCTTAATTCTTTGAGAATTTCATACAGAATATTTTAGCCATATTCACTCCCATGTCTCCCTCTAGTTCCTCCCAGGTATATACTCCCCACTTCCTGTCCTCTTTTTTTTAATAATCTACCAAGTCCTATTTGTGCTGCCCATATACTTCTGGGTGTAGGACCATCCACTGAAGCATGGTCACTGTACCAGGGACTGCACCCTTAAAGAAAACTGATTCTCCGTCCTCCAGAAACCACCAACTGTCCATGTTCTCTGATTCTTAAGGATAGGCTATATTTAAAAATAAATTTCAAGCTTTTTTATTGTTGCTATTAATCAGAAGTGTACAAAGAAACCAATAGGATAAACAAGCTTTCAAGTTTAGCACAGACTACTAAAAAGAAAGTTTTTAAACACTTTGTAAAATGTTTCTGTATATAAGTACCTATGTTAGATGTACCTTTTCTGAGTTTGTTACCATTTTTCTCAAATCATTTCTTTGTAAAAGTTATTACCAGCTTAACTGAATGCTATGGCTACTATTACTTTAATTTTAAGATCCAGACTTCTCTATTGATTCCTTTTGCTGTTCCTGGTGCAGGCCCCACTGAGTGAGGTTTCACTGTTGTGTCTGTTTGCTTTATCTTGCAGACCAGTTTCCTAACTCTTCTCAGAATGGATCATGCAGACAAGTGCAATATCCTCTGGCAGACCTGTCCCCCATCCTAACTAGTGGGGACTCGGATATATCCAGCCCATTACTGCAAAATACTGTCCACATTGACCTCAGTGCTCTAAATCCAGAGCTGGTCCAAGCAGTCCAGCATGTAGTGATTGGGCCCAGTAGCCTGATTGTGCATTTCAATGAAGTCATAGGAAGAGGTAAGTGTTTCCACTCCACTCTCTGTCAAACACAGTTTTCCGGTAAGCATTTTATCTCCTGCCTTTGCAGACTAGGAACTTACCCAATGCTGAGGGCACCTGACAGAACACTGATAATGAGTGTGTTTGATTTCTGTTCTGCAGACATGCAGACCTGAAAATCATATCCATGGGGACTCACCCCTGACCATGGAGGCAATTGGATAACCTTCCCAACATATCAGAAAGAAACCCATACCTTCTGTATCCTTCTCACACCAACTGTACAGGTTCTTGGAAAGCGCCATTTACTGCCTGATAAATATCATTCTTTTAAGTTCCAATATTTTCACTCCTTTATCGCTTCAATCTTTCCTTATCCTGAGAACAGTGACAAAGTGTACAAAGTCCTGGTTTATAGCAGCTTGTGCACTGCTGGACATCAGAAGACAGGGAATTTATAGCCCTCCCATGATCTGAAGCAACATATATCATCTCCGCAATGCACTCCAATTTCTTTTTACAAAGAAGAATGGATATTTGTAATAAGCTAGCCAGAGCAGCAATAACAACTAGCATAAACAGTATCAGAGGAAATGTGCAGCCAAAGAAACCAACCAGAAGCCAAGAAATGAAGTCTACTCCTTTTTTTCTAAAATCCTTTTACACATAATGCTGAACGGCCTCTGATCCCTTTTATTCTCTACGCTTTGCTAGGGGTTGCACAGTCATCTGTCAGTGTGATACAGGAGAAACTGGTGGTATTGTTGGCCTAGTGTGAACATTCCTCTGTCACACGCCCCAGAGCTGAATCCTGAGTGTGCTACTTCTTTAAAGAGTGACTTCGGGGCTGGAGAGATGGCTCAGCAGTTAAGAGCACTGGCTAGTCCTGTAGAGGACCCGGGTTCAAGTCCCAGCACCCACCTAGCAGCTAACAACCATGAGAAACTCCAGTTCCAGGGGATCTGACCCCTTCTTCTGACCTCCACAAGCATTGCATGACATGGGTGCACTTACGCACATGCAGGCCATACATTCATATACATATAAAAATAAATTTTTAAAAAAGAGTTGGCTTCACTGTGCACAAAAGTGTTTCCATGTTATCAGCCCATACATCCAATAACTGTACCAATTTTGGAGTGTATAGCCACAATAATTATGTTCTAATTCTATACACTGTAAAATTAGAATAATTTTTATCATGAAAGGTGTTAAACATGGAGATTATTTCTCCAAAGTAGTAGTCATTAAGCAGCTTTCCATAATAGCTGCTGCTTATATTTATGTTTTTCTCAGGAAATGTGAGCAGTCTTGAGCATGTTTTATTTTATTCATCTTTGTGACTCAAAAGGGTGGCCTCATGCCTTACATTCACAAACTAAAATTAGAATAATTTTTATCATGAAAGGTGTTAAACATGGAGATTATTTCTCCAAAGTAGTAGTCATTAAGCAGCTTTCCATAATAGCTGCTGCTTATATTTATGTTTTTCTCAGGAAATGTGAGCAGTCTTGAGCATGTTTTATTTTATTCATCTTTGTGACCCAAAAGGGTGGCCTCATGCCTTACATTCACAAAGGCACTCGGGACACCTTGGTTGACTGGGTGAATTAATTGAATGACTTACACAGCTATCAGGCATTTGGCACCTCTGGGAAAAATTACTGCTGCTGGATGAAAGGCTACCATTGGGGAAATGAGTGAGTAAAGCCTTAGAGAATGCGTGAAATGAGTCAGAGTGAATCTGCTTCATTTAGGTGACTGTCTTCAATTCCTGCCAACCTGGCTTACATATTAACTGGTGACTAATGGAGGAAACCCTCACTCTATAATACTAACCTTATTTCTAATCATTTACTGGAATATGGGGAGCTTATTGATTGTATTTACTCATGTGGGTAAACCTTTATTTTTCATATTTTTAGATATCATTCGATCCTTAATAATAATAATTTTCTTTTATGCAGGATCTATTCCTATGTTCAGCAATTCTGTCATAATTTGATATTTTAGTATATTAGCCTTTAATAGAAGTCATATTCCCTGCAGCTTTTACATTAAATAATCATGTTGCTTATACCCTGGAGATAAACACATTCCATCTATATTTATATACAAACACATGCACTATATAGAGTAGTATTGTTAATCCAAGTGTCATAAGCAATGCACCTTTTTTGCCTTATACAAAAAAGGAGATGAAGGTCATGATGAAAGGCTTACTAAATAGTTATTGCATAAGTCAACATTCTGTAGTGCTAATCAAGTTCTCTTTTTCAATAGGGCATTTTGGCTGTGTCTATCATGGGACTTTGTTGGACAATGATGGCAAGAAAATTCACTGTGCTGTGAAATCCTTGAACAGTAAGTTACATTTCACCTAATAGTCAAAGATACTTCATACTTTGTGGTGTGCAAATTAGTAAATGGCTTATAATGGAGTGTTGATTTATATTTTCCTTTGTGACAAACATCATCTGTTGAAATTATGGATCTAATCCTGAAAATGTGTTTAGTCTGAACTCTTATTAAAATGGTCCCTCTGAAATTACCCCTTAGAAACTTTATAAGTAAGGGTACAGGAACAGTGGGATTCCTGCATGAATCAAGTACCATTTAATGATGTTAAACTTATAATATTTGTTTTGCAAACGGCATTTATGGAAACTATTGGAAGCATGTTGGCACATACCATAGTAATGACTCATTTTGCCCAGAGACACTACCATAATTATTTCTTAACCACAAATTCCATTAAAAAAAGAAAAGACCAAAAAACAGGAGAGAAACACACTGTCAGAAAATAGAAAAATCCTAAGTATGGTAATACTTCATTTCTCAATGAATTTAGGGAATGAGAGTGTTCCACAGAAATGAGTTTCCTAGGAAATACAACTTACCCCCTTTTAATGCTAGAACGTTCTTAAAATTTCAGCTGCTAGCCAGGCGTGGTGGTGCATGCCTTTAATCCCAGCACTTGGGAGGCAGAGGCAGGCAGATCCAATATATATATATATATATATATATATATTCAGCTGCTGCTGAGGAAAATCTTTTTAAGATGAAATGCACACTCTGTTTAAGAACCAAGGAATGTTTCCAAACATAAACTTAGTCTTTATTGATGACCCAGAGCCATAATTACGGCCATAAATTACTATATTGTACAAGCCAGTGTCCTCCTCGTAGAGAGTAGTCCTTGCTTGTTGACAGCTCTCACGTGCTTGTCTTCCCTTCTTTCTGACTTTCTACTTAAAATTTGAAGAAGCCTGAAAAACGCTAACCAACTTTATTCTAGATTTATATTAGAACTAATAGTTTTAAATGTACAAATGGAAGGTTTCCCTGCAAGATACTCTATTGCCAGAACTGCTTCAGCCTTTTTAAATACAAACATAACCTCCATGCCTAGCACCATTCTCTATGTCAATTGTCAGCAGTATGACCACCAAATAATTAAAGGGACAGTCTACACCAAACCTAACAGCAAACTGTGGTAGATTAAGTATGATAGTCAATAGATTGGTCTCACAGGAGAGTAGTACTGCCGTTTGAACTCAGAACAGTCAAAACTCCAAGAAATCTTTCTGTCCTTTGTATGTGGTGTTGCTATTCAGTCTATAATGACTTTTGTTATCTTTTCCAGGTCTCAGAATGTACTGAGTTTGTAAAAGACTGCTAACATTATCAAAGACACAAAAGGGATTCTTGTCAAATTTATAAGTTAATGTTGTTTAAGTCCTCATTAGTGCTAACTAGTAGTGATAGTTGAACCCTCAGTATTTCTCTCTGGAGATTATTAGAAACTATTCTACTAAAATGTACCTACTTAGGGGGCTAGAGAGATGGCTCAGTGGGTATGAGCACTTGTGTAACCATAAGGACCTGTGTTTAGATCACAGCATCCATATAAAAAGCAGAGCATAGCACACCCAGTACTCTGGGGGTAAAAACAAGAGGATCGCTGGACCATGCTGGCCACTAGCCTGGCTCCAGGTTCAGTGACAGACCCTGTCTGAAGGAATAGGGCAGAGCTCAATACAGCAGAACACTCAACATCTTCCTCTGGCTTCTGTGCACATGTACACACACACACACACACACACACACACACACATATGTGAATATACCACAGAAACACACACAGATACACAGAAATACCCACTTAGTTTGGGAAGATGTAGCTCAGTTGGAGAAGATATGTAAGGTTCAGTTGAATTCTCTGTACAGAAAAAGCCGGGGAAAGGCTTTTGGTCTTCAAATTCTCTGAGGTCAGCAATCATTAAACTATGGCCTATCAGCTGTTTTCATACATAAAGTTTATGAAGACTCCTCCCCTTGCTGCCTATAACTACTTTCCTGGTTCAACAGTAGAGTTAAGTAGTTGTAAGGGTCACCACATGGCCCATTAAGCCAAACACTCTCTGACCCAAATACAGAAGCACTTGCCGGCCTGTGCCCCGGACACTCCCAGATGCAGTGGCTTGCTGTTTTCTCAGTCTTTTATCTGTATGAGATGATCCTTGCTTCTGCATGAGACCACCTGTTTTCTGGGCTCTGTTTTACAAAAGGGACTGTTGGTAGTGACTTGATGGCACTGTACAGTGTGATACTGTGGAGGCTCCAGAAAGAATGCCCTACAGTATGGGACTTTGGCATGCTGAGTTCTTTGGGTTAAAAAGCATTTGAAGGACCTCAGAAACAAAGTCTTCCTGACCTCTTGCCTTTCTGACCCTAGATCTCCTTTGTTTCTTAAGGTGGGTTGTGAAAATTAGAACACTCCACCAAGGCAGGTCATAAAAACTAGAATCCTCCTAAAAAACCAACTATAACACCTTGAAATATTATTCTGACCCTCCCCTTCCTTCCTGTTTTGGAGCCGGCTGGCCATATACACACAAAAATAGTTCTCTGCCCCACGTTGTCTGATAGGCACTCATAAGACCCCCATTCCTGTACTCAGGAAGAGGGGATCTTGCATAAGAGGCCAATAGGAACCCAACAGAAAAGGCTTGCTGGCCTTCCCTCTCAGTGTGTCACCATTAAGGCATAGGCTTTTGTTCCAGTCATATTTCTTCACAACTTTCTGTTTTTCATCAAATCCAAGCATTTGAAAAAGACAATTTTCTCTGGGTGCCTAGGTCTCCATTTCTGAAGGGCTCCATGTCTTACAAAACTTATTTTAAAATATGTTATGCAAGGCTGGAGAGATGTCTCAGTAGTTAAGAGTGCTTTCTGCTCTTCCAGAGGATGTGAGTTCAGGTCTCAGCACCTATGTTGGGCAACTCACAACTGCCTATATCTCCAGCTCCTGATGATCCAACACCCACTGTTGACCTCCACAGATACCTACACACATGTAACATACATACACACACATAAACACATACACACACAAATATATAGATATTAATTTTTTTAATTAAAGATGTAATGCTTTTGTGTTGTTAATCTGTCTTTAGAATTCTCAGATACAACCTTTATGAGAGGTAATGACAGTGAAAAATCTTTCTGCCCCAGGACACCATGCACTGAGATATATTTTAAAAAGAATGTCATAGGGTTGAAGCCTCAGGACAAGGTGTCACCATCTGGTTTTTACATTTCATTGCTCTTCCTATCTAAATTTGACAAAGTATTCATTGTCCCCTAATGAAGTTAATGTCCCAACATTGGATTCCTCAGGAATCACTGACATCGGAGAAGTTTCCCAGTTTCTGACTGAGGGAATTATCATGAAAGATTTCAGTCATCCCAATGTTCTCTCACTCTTGGGAATCTGCCTTCGGAGTGAAGGGTCCCCACTGGTGGTTCTGCCATACATGAAGCATGGAGATCTTCGAAATTTCATTAGAAATGAGACTCATGTAAGTACTTTGCTAAGCTTACTAACTAGCAAACTAGCTGTAAGCCAGTCATCCCTTAAATACTTGTTTGTTTGGGGGTGTATGGGGGGGACTATGAGGGGTATGGGTATGTGTGTGAATGGGTATGTAGGTGTGTTTGTGTTGTGTGGGTGTGCAGATGCACTTTGCCTATGCAGGCCCATGTGGAAGCCAGAGGCTGACTCTCGGTGTCTGCCTCAATTGGGTATCTTCTCCACACTATTTTTTAAGGCAGAGTCACTCCTGATTCTGGAGTTCAACTTTTTGGCTAGACTGACTGACCATTGAGCCCTCGGGATCTGCCTGTCTCTGCCTCACACCTCTGGAGTTTCAGGCAAACCATCACACCTGACTTTCATATGGGTCCTAAGGATCTGAATTCAGGTCCCCAAGTTTGCACAGCAAGTGTTTTACCAACCAAACCATCTCTCCAGCCCCAACATAAGCATATATTTGAGTCTTATAAAAAGCTACTTGCCAGTCCAAGATAGACTACATAGCAAAATGCTGTTTTAAGAGGAAGGATGTCTCATTAATCATTGTTCATATTCATTATATATTGAAATACTGATTTTTTGAAATATTAGGTTAAAAATATATTGTGATATTTTTCACATTTTTTAACTATTTAAATATGGTTGCCAAAAATTTTAAATTATACATGTATCTTACATTATGTTCTACTGAATAGTGTTCAGTACTAAACAATAAACAAATAGATAATCACCATATATTTTTGTATATGCACACAAGGCAAGCTCACAAAATAGTATTTTGTATATTTTGTTCACCCCTGTGGCTCTTGGTAAATATTTGTTGAACAAATGAGCTTAGGATTACAAATGTGGACCATAAGCTTCTGTGAGTGGTGCGTTTTCTTTTTCTTAATATTATATTATTTTTATTTTGTGTGTATGAGTGTATTGCCTGCATTTATGTAAGTGTACCCATGTTGTGCAGTGCCCACACTCAGATGAGGGCGTCGGAATCCCTGAAACTGGAGTTATGGACAGTTGTTAGCTGCCATGGGGGTGAATCAAACCTGGGTCCTCTGTAAGAGCAGCCAGTGCTCTTAACCACTGAGCCATCTCTCCAGCCCCAATAGGGTGTTTTCTTTATGACATTTATACCAGAACAGAACGGTTAAGCAAGCTTTGGCCAGGCCAGGGTTGAAGAGGATGGAATGAGGATCCCCCAGAACTAAATTCACATGATGGCCTGAGGCTTAGGACTGCTGCTGACCATGTCCCTGTGGGAATCAGCTGAGTAGCTTTGCTCTTGATCAAAAACAACTCTATAAACATGAAGTCAAGTTTTATGACATTTATACCAGAACAGAACGGTTAAGCAAGCTTTGGCCAGGCCAGGGTTGAAGAGGATGGAATGAGGATCCCCCAGAACTAAATTCACATGATGGCCTGAGGCTTAGGACTGCTGCTGACCATGTCCCTGTGGGAATCAGCTGAGTAGCTTTGCTCTTGATCAAAAACAACTCTATAAACATGAAGTCAAGTTCTCTCTCTCTCTCTCT